GCGGGATACACAGGCACAAGGGGGCCCCCAGGGGGCCCCAGGGGGGCCCCAAGCGGGGCCCCTAGGGGGGCCCCTGGGGGGGGCCCCAGGGGGGCCCACAGGTGCGGGGGCCCCATGGGGGCCCCCTCACCCACTGGCTGCACAGACACCCGAACGACTCCTCCATCCCCCGCCCGGCAGAGATCTGAATAGCAGCTGGTCCCTGCACGAGCAGCAGCAGCAGCAGCAGCAGCAGCAGCAGCAGCAGCAGCAGCAGCAGCAGCAGCAGCAGCAGCAGTTGCAGCAGCTGCAGCAGCATAACTCTGTACACAGAATAGAGGCAAGGGGAGCCACCGTGAGGAGGCCCCTGGGGGCCCCTGCAACCACCACCTCTTGGGGGCCCCCCTCGTCCTTGCAGAGGGGCCCCCCAACCTTCTCGGGGGCCCCCGTCCTCAGTGTCGACTCCTTAGTTAGTGGGTTCGAGCCGGCGGATGGGGGGCCCCCCATGGGGCCCCCCATGGGGCCCGCGATGGGGCCCCCCATGGGGCCCCCCGTCACAAGCAACCCAAGGGATAGGGGCCCCCAGGAGGGGCCCCTCCACCCCCAGTATAGAGAGACAGATAGACATGCGATCAGGGCCCCTACGCTCCTCACCGGGGCCCTGAGGCCCCCCCCAGACACTCCAGCAGCAGGAGCAGTGTTGCAGCTAGAGGCCCCACCCGAGCCTCACGGGGGGCCCCCAGGGGGCCCCCCAGGGGGCCCCCCAGGGGCCCCCCCGGGGGCCTCCCCAGACCTGTCTGGGGGGCAGAGTGTGATGGGGGCCCCTGCAGCGTCTACATGCTTCAGGAGCTCTCCCTCTATCGTTCGCTCTGGGGGCCCCCCTGGGGGGCCCCTCGCGGTCCCCCAGGGGCCCCCCCAGGGGGCCCCCCAGGGGGCCCCTCTGGGGGCCCCTCAGGGGGGCCCCCTTGGGGCCCCCCCCAGGTTTTCTAGGGCCCCGTTGCCTGCGTTTGATGCTCTTGCTGCGCTGCTGGCTCCCCCCCTGAATGAGGAGATGAAGCTGCTGAGCGGAGACAGTGCAGCAGCAGCAAAAGAAGGGGGGGCCCCCCTGACGAAGGGCCCCCAGACGGTGGCTGGGGTGTACATGGAGGCGGCCTTTCCCTCGGGGGCCCCTGTCAATACAGCGCAAGGGGGGGCCCCCAATAGAGAGAACCCTCAGCAGCAGCTTGCTGCTGTCGCTGCTGCTGCAGCACACACAACCCTCAGTACCCTGCAGCCTGGGGGGCCCCCCCCTGTCTTGCGTTTACCCTGGAAAGGCGATGGGGGGCCCCCAGAGGGGGACGGGGGGCCCCCTGAGGGGCCCCCTGAGGGGCCCCCCGAAGGAGATGGGGGCCCCCAATCAGCGGAGCTTCATGCTGCTGCTGCTGCAGCTACCGCTGCAGCAACTGATGCTGCTGCTGCAGATAGTCCTGCTGCAGCAAGTGCTGCTGCTGCTGCTGCAGCAACTGCAGCAGCAGCAGCAGCAGATGGTGCTGCTGCTGCAGCTGCATCTGTTCCTTCTGTCTCCCCTTCGTCAACAGAAGGCCTAAAGAAAAGTCAGTTGTCTCCTTTTTTTTTTCTGTCTCCTTTTTGTTTTTTTTGTCTCCTTTTTTGTTTCTTTTGTCTCCTGTTTTCTGCCCCCTGTCTCTTGTTTTTTATTTATTTATTATTTATTGTTTATTGTTTTATTTATTTTGTTTTTTATTGTCTCTTTTTTTTTTGTTTGTATGCAGCTGTCTCCGCTCTGCTGCTGAGCCCGCAGCAGCAGCAGTCTCCCCTCACAATCGATGCTGCTGCTGCTGCTCTTGCTGCTGTTCGTATAACTCCAGCAGCACGTGCTGCTGCTGCTGCTGGCATGCAAGCAGCAGCAGCAGCAGCAGCACTGCGTAGAGAAGCAGCAGCAGCAGCAGCACCACCCTCAGCAGCAGCAGCAAAAGCAGC